TGCATCAGGTGGCCAAAGTGTTAGAGTTTCAGCTTCAGCATCAGTCCTTCCAATGAATATTCAGGACTGATTTCCTTTAGGATGGACTGGTTTGATCGTCTTGCAGTCCAAGGGACTCTCAAGAGTCTTTTCCAACACCACAGTTCAAAAGCATCAATTCTTCAGTGTTCAGCTTTCTTTATAGTCCAACTCTCACATCCATACATGACTACTGGAAAAACCATAGCTTTGATGAGAAGGACCTTTGTTGGCAAAGTAATGTCTCTGCTTTTTAATATGCTGTCTAGGTCCAAGGAGTAAGTGCCTTTTAATTTCATGGCTGCAGTCACCACCTGCAGTGATTTTGGAGCCCCCCAAAATAAAGTCTCTCACTGTTTCCATTGTTTCCCCATCTATTTGCCATGAAGTGATGGGACCAGATGCCATGATCCTAGTTTTCTGAATGTTGAGCTTTAAGCCAACTTTTTCACTCTCCTCTTTCACTTTCATGAAGAGGCTCTTTAGTTCTTCTTCACTTTCTGCCATAAGGGTGGTGTCATCTGCCTATCTGAGGTTATTGATATTTCTCTCAGCAATCCTGATTCCACCTTGTGCTTCATCCAGCCTGGCATTTCACATGATGTACTCTGCATATAAGTTAAATAAGCAGGGTGACAATATACAGCCTTGACGTACTCCTTTCCCTATTTGGAACCAGTCTGTTCCATGTCCAGTCCTAACTTGCTTCCTGACCTGCATACAGATTTCTCAAGAGGCAGGTCAGGTGGCCCGGTATTCCCATCTCTTACAAGGATTTTCCACAGTTTGTTGTGATCCACACAGTCAAAGGATTTGGAGCAGTCAATAAAGCAGAAATAGATGTTTTTTCTGGAATGCTTTTGCTTTTTCGATGATCCAACGGATGTTGGCAAATTGATCTCTGGTTCCTCTGCCTTTTCTAAATCAAGCTTGAACATTTCGAAGTTCACAGTTCACGTACTGTTGAAGCCTGGCTTGGAGAATTTTAAGCATTACTTTACTAGCGTGTGAGATAAGTGAAATTGTGCAGTAGTCTGAACATTCTTTGACATTGCCTTTCTTTGGGACTGGAATGAAAACTGACCTTTTCCAGTCCTGTGGCCACTGCTGAGTTTTCTGAATTTGCTGGCATATTATGTGCAGCACTTTCACAGCATCATCTTTTAGGATTTGAAATAGCTCAACTGGAATTCCATCACTTCCACTAGCTTTGTTCATGTGATGCTTCCTAAGGCCCACTTGATTTCATATTCCAGGATATCTGGCTCTAGGTGAGTGATCACACCATCATGATTATCTGGGTCATTAAGATCTTTTTCATATAGTTCTTCTGTGTATTCTTGCCTCTTCTTAATATCTTCTGCTTCTGTTGGGTCCATACCACTTTTGTCCTTTATTGTGGCCATCTTTCTTGCATGAAATGTTCCCCTGGTATCTCTAATTTTCTGGAAGAGATCTCTAGTCGTTCCCATTCTATTGTTTCCCTCTGTTTCTTTGCATTGATCACTGAGGAAGGCTTTCTTATCTCTCCTTGCTGTTCTTTGGAACTCTGCATTCAAATGAGTATATCTTTCCTTTTCCCCATTGTCTTTTGCTTCTTTTCTTTTCACAGCTATTTGTAAGGCCTCCTCAGACAACGATTTTGCCTTTTTGCATTTCTTTTTCTTGAGGATGGTCTTGGTCCCTGCCTCCTGTACAAAGTCATGAGCCTCCATGCATAGTTTTTCAGGCACTCTATCAGATCTAATCCCTTGAATCTATTTGTCGCTTCAACTGTATAGCCATAAGGGATTTGATTTAAGTCATACCTGATTGGTCTAGTGGTTTTCCCCACTTTCTTCAGTGTAAGTCTGAATTTGGCAATAAGGAGTTCATGATTTGAGCCACAGTCAGCTCCCAGTCTTGCTTTGCTCACTGTAGAGAGTTTCTCAATCTTTGGCTGCAAAGAGTATAATCAATCTGATTTCGGTATTGATCATCTGGTGATGTCTTGTGTTGTTGGAAAAGTGTATTTGCTATGACCAGTGCATTCTCTTGGCAAAACTCTATTATCCTTTGCCCTGCTTCATTCTGTACTCCAAGGCCAAATTTGCCTGTTACTCCAGGTATTTCTTGACTTCCTACTTTTGCATTCCAGTCCCCTATAATGAAAAGGACATCTGTTTTGGGTGTTAGTTCTAAAAGGTCTTGTAGGTCTTCATAGAATCATCCAACTTCAGCTTCTCCAGCATTACTGGTTGGGGCATAGAGTTGGATTACTGTGATACTGAATAGTTTTCCTTGGAAACGAACAGAGATCATCCTGTCATTTTTGAGACTGCATTCAAGTACTGCTTTTCGGACTCTTCTGTTGACTATGATGGCTACTCCATTTCTTCTAAGGGATTCCTGCCCACAGTAGTAGGTATGATGGCCTCCTGAGTTAAATTCACCCATTCCAGTCCATCTTAGTTCGCTGATTCCTAGAATGTCGACATTCACTCTTGCCAGCTCCTGTGTGACCACTTCCAATTTGCCTTGATTCATGGACCTGACATTCCAGGTTCCTATGCAATTGCTCTTTACAGCATCACACTTTGCTTCCATCACCAGTCACATCCACAACTGGGTGATGTTTTTGCCTTGGCTCCATCTCTTCATTCTTTCTGGAGTTATTTCTCCACTGATCTCCAGTAGCATATTGGGCACCTACCAACCTGGGGAGTTCATCTTTCAGTGTCATATCTTTCTGCCTTTTTATACTGTTCATGAGGTTCTCAAGGCAAGAATACTGAAGTGGTTTGCCTTTCCCATCTCCAGTGGACCACGTTTTGTTAGAACTCTCCACCGTGACCTGTCTGTCTTGGGAGGCGCTACATGGCATGAGTTAGACAAGTTCATTTAGTTCACTGAGTTAGACAAGGCTGTGGTCCATGTGATCAGATTGGTTAGTTTTCTGTGATTGTGGTTTTCAGTCTATCTGCCCTTTGATGGAAAAGGATAAGAGGCCTACGGAAGCTTCCTGAGGGGAGAGACTGACTGAGGGGGAACTGGAAAATGGAATCTGGAAGTCAATGCAAATCAGGGCTTTACCTTCTGGAGAGCTGGTTTTTATAATTTACCAGCCCACCACTGGACAGAAGGTTATCATTTTCCTAGAATTGCTCCTGAGATAATGTGCCAAGTTCCTATTCTTGCTGGTGTAGTGGTATCATTCAGGATTCCAGGAAGGGACAGATGGTCCTTTCAAGAGGGTGACTGAGAATAATGCAAGGAACGGACTTTCACAAAGGCACGGACAGGGTGTGGGATGCAGGCAGAGATGGGGAGGTGTCCCTGGACCAGTGAGGGCAGGTAGTGGCTACTGAGCCCAGGCCTGGGGAAGAAAAAGCCAGTGGAGGACCTGGTGAGATGGGCTCTTGGAGAAGGTTGCTCCAAGATGGGCTCTTGGAGAAGGGCGTGGCCGGGAAGGACGGATGTAAGGAACTCAGTTAAGAGTCTTAGGTGGCCTGACCCTGGCCAGCTCGTGGGATGCACGCTTCCCTTGTCCACTGTACTTGGTGGCCACACGTTATGTCCTCTCCCTCCCCCAGTTCATTCCTCCTCCTCCGTGGCTTAGATTTCACCCTCCTGAACAGGTCAGACTCTCTTGACTGTGTTCTTTTGCACCTTGTCATTCTTCGCAGCAGTTCTCTGCTTATGCTCACTGTGCTTATTAGTTTTAATCCAATAATGATTCATCTAACAATTAAAATACCAGCAGCACACATTTACTGGCACTTCCCACATGCCAGGCACTGGCTTATGGCTGTATTTGAGAGGGCAGGCACCAGGTCTCTGTCTTGTTCACTGCTCTGTCTCTCCAGCACTCAGAACACAGCCTGGAACACAGTACGAGCTAGACAAACATGTGGAGTAAACATCCCCTCAGTAAGCGTAGCAAGTGTTTCCTAGCTCTTCTGTAGTAGGGAGATTAAACATGGCTGCAAATGTTTTTCCGTTCTTTCCACTGAGAGACAGAGTCTGACTCCATTCTTCTTGAACGTGGGCTGGTTTTGGTGACTTGCTTGATGGATAGAATTTGGAGGACGTGAGATTCTGGGACTTCTAGGTCATAAGAAGCCGAGCAGCCTTCAGCCGGGTCCCTAACGTTCTCACTGATAGCCCCGAACCACCATTTATGAAGTCCAGCTCCGTGAGGCCACCATACCAGTGAGACTGCATGTGGGGTGGCTGATCTTTCCCAGACCAGCTCTCTAGCCTCCTCTACTGGGGCCAGACCTGGCAGGGAAGCTTGGAGCCATCCATCTGCCAGCTCAGTGGCATTAAGGGACCACCACTGATGCCACCTGAAAAAGAATTACCCAGCTAAGTGCTGCTCAAGCTTCTGAGTCACAATTTATGAGACACAATAAAATGGCTCTTACTTTAGACCTCTGTATTGGAGGGTGCCTCATTACAGAGCAAGAGTCAGAACTTGTAATACTGGTTTCGGGGAAATCCCTAAGTCGATTTTCCATTCCACCTTCACCCATCCCACGCTCTATGTGCCCCCTGACGACTATCACCACCCGGAGTCTTACTAACTCCCCAGCACCCAACCTTTGATGTGGCTTTAACAGAGGTGCCTACTTGATTGAGCTTCCATTTGAACATGGCTGGGAAATCCCCTGAGAGCAAGTCTGGCTGTTTAGTAGGTAGTGAAGAGAGCTGAGTTGTTCTGGGTCAAGGGCCAAATTTTCCCGCTGACCCCTTCAACCTTTGTGATGGTGAAATCACCAACTCCCAGGGAGAGGCCCTTTCCTTAGAGGTCTGCTCTGCTCACCCCCAGGCCTGGTTGGACGGTTTTCACATTGAGAGTTGGGGAAATCAGCCACAGGCTGGGGCTGCCCTGCTTTCACTGAGGACTTGCTCCCTGGCCGGGCCTGTCGCAGGTACAGTAAACTCCGCTGGCATCACCAGGCCTCGTCGTCAAGGAGCTTCTGTGGGCCCCATGGCTGCAGTTAGAGGACTGAACCCGAGGGTGTGCTCAGAGGGTGTGGTTCTGGACGGAGCCGTTTGGACATGTCTGACAGCACCACAGACTCAAGAGACACTTGAGGAGCTGGAGGCCTCTTGACCTTCTCCAGGGCCTCTGGAAGGGGCTGCGTGGGGATGGCCCTGGGGCTCTGCCAGCCCACCCTGAGCCGCAAGGGCTCCCTCTTATCACTTGCTTCACTGCTCCTCAAGCACATGGGTGGGTGGGTGAGGTGGGGACTCTTCTCCTGGCAGAAGCAGCCAGGGTCTGGACAAGGCTGAGGACAGGAGGCGTCTGTGATGCAGTGAGACAGGCACATCAGGGCTGGACCTCACGGAGCCTCAGACCCTCTGTGTTGCTCTGGGCCACTGTCATTTTTGCACCATGTGGGGTTCATGAGGACAGGGGATCCCCAGGTCCTGCCTACTGACCTACAGAAACAAGGACTTCGGGTGAGGCCTGGCTCTCTACATTCGTGACAAGTCTGGGTGTTCATAAGGAAGCCAGGCAGTGTAGAGATTAACACCACAGACTCTAGAGTTAGGCTGCAGGGGTTCAAACGTGGACTCCAGGATTCAGTGCCCATTTAATAATTCTGACGCCTCAGTTTCCAACATGAATTGCAGATAATTACCACCTCAGTGGCTTGTTAAGAGGATCAAACACAGCAGATGAGTTAGGGATGAGGACAAGCCCCAGTGAGTGCGCTCTAACTGTGAGCTCCAGCTCCCCAGAGAGTGGCAAGAGACGAAATGCAGAGAGCTGTACTCAGTACAGGGTCAGAGCTCAATCAATGTTGGCTGAATGGAGGACAAGAGCAGGACACAGCCAGTCACACCACTGGCACAACCATGCCATGAATATTTATTTTCATAGCAACCTCTGGCATTGTTCTAGGGGCTGGTGGCTCACAAAGGAATAAATCATTCTCTGCCCTTCAGATGCTCACAGAGGTGGAAACGGGTGGTAGAAAGCAATGTGTTAAGTGCAATATGAGGAAAAGGCTCTGTGCATGCCAGCCTTGGAGAGGTGAGGAAGGTTTCCTAGAGGAGGTGATGTCAAAGGTGGATCTGAAGGATGAGTAGGAGTTATGCAGGGAAAGGCAGCTGAATGCCAGGTGTAGGGGAACACTTATGCAATAGGGCACATTCTGAGCCTCCCAATGATTCACACCGAGAGAGATGTGTGGTGGAAGTGATAGACTGCCAGGGGTTGAGGCTGGAAAGATGAGCAGCATCAGAGTCATGGGTTGACTGGGTGCCCGATGCCTGCAGGTCTGACTAGCTCATCTCATGCACTGCACATCCTTATCATGAAGGTTGCCTTGCATGTCACCCAATAACACGTCCCTGGATCAGTCAGTTGGCACCCTATTTCAGCGTCCAGAGTGTAAAAAGTCACCGAGGTCGAAACCCCTGCCCAGCCACTTTCAAGTAGAGGAGTGTCAAATTTAATAATTTGGAGTCCATGTTTCAAAACCACCACATGGAGATTCGGGGACAAGTTCCTGAAGGAGAGTACATGGGCTAAGTCCTGAAAGGCAGAAGTAGGAGTGAAGAGAAGAGAGCAGAGGAGAGGGATGTGCCATTCGGGGAGCAGCAAGTGTAAACACAAGGGACAGGAGGTCTCCAGGCTGGGCCAGAGGACTCTACTTAAGGCCCGAGAGGGGACGATCTGTGCTGAGAGGGCGTTGGGAGATGAGCAGGAGCCAGAGACCAAGGCCCTCGGGTGCTCAGTTCAGGAGTCTAGAATTCATCCTGAATGGAGAACTAGCAAAGGGTTTTAAGCAGAGGAGTAAGGTGATCAGTGGATTCATTAGGATGGTCTTGGCTGTAAGTGACAAAACACAGGACCAAAGAGGCGTAAGTGGTGGAAGCTGTCAATTTCCCATAGGGAGGTAATGCTAGGGTTGGTGCAGTACTCTGGCAATGTCATCAAAAACCATGGCCCCTTCTACCTCATGTACTAGCCTCAGTGCCTCTGTAATATCATTCCTCATGCCTGCAGGATACCTGCTATGGTATCAAGTATCACAGCTTTGTACAGCACTGAGGGCAGGAAATAAGGAAACATGTCTAAACAAGCAGCTTTTCACTGGGGGCAATTTTGTGATGTCTGGTGGCCATTTTTGCTCATCACAGCTTGGGGAAGCTACTGACATCTAGCAGGTAGAGGCCAGGGATGCTGACAAACAGGACAAACTCCTACAAAAGAAAATTAACAAAATAGCTATTGTGTCGAGGTTGAAAAACCCTGGTCTAAGCTGATTGAGTGCCCTTAGTTTATATGGGGCAGTGGATCTGCCTCCCTCACTGGACCTTTGGAACTAACAGCCTGCCCAAAGATTCAGTTTCACAGTTTAGCTGCTGAGGGACCTGAGACACTGCCAGATATATCAGTGTATTATAAAGCTACAACCATATAAATTTTTAGATAGATTGAAATGTAAGAAGTGAAAATTAAACAACCTTCAGGACAGAAATAGTTATCAGACGGGGAATGAACATACTTATATATATATTACATATAAATATAAATATAATATGCATATAGTTTTCATTACATGTCATTTGAGAAGGGCATTATTATTGCTCAGACATTGAATTGGTTTGCAGGACATAGCTTTCTCTATCCTTAATCTTTAGTTCCTGGAATTTCCATTCCATTGTTGTAGTCAGTGTAATGTATTCTTTCCTTTCGATATTCTGAAGCAGAACTTGTTGGACTGGCCTTGTTGTGATGGCGGCAGTGATGGTGGGAAGGGGCGAAGAGACTGACTAAAAAGGCAGGTGCTGCCAACATAAAAGAAGTTCAGCTTGTCTACAGGCAACCCAGAACCTGAAATACCTCTATTTCCGCTAGAGGTTTCTGGTTTGACCTAATTTTTTCAGAGATATGATGCTGACTTGGTGCTTTATTTTTTCTTCCTAAACAGCTTCCTTTTCCTGTGTTTTTGTTGTTGTTCTTGTTTTATCATGGTCCCTGCCATCAGCTTTGTTTTTTGAAAATGAGAATTTGAGCTCCACTGATTAGGTGTGGGTATAAGTATGCCATGGGCATGTGTGTGTGCTTGCATATGTGTGGTTGTGTGCCCCTGTGTGTATATGGTGGGGTGGTTCATATAGATTTCCATATCAACACAACTTAGCTGACAAAGTTCTGGGCTCCCTCAATGATAAAGATGGGTCTCCTTTCAACACACCCTCACTATGTAATCAACAGTTGAAGATAATATAATTAAAAATAGTAAACCCACATACTGTGCCTAGAAATCTTCAACAAGTGAATTACCAGAAAATAAAGAGCGCCCTTTTCAATAATCCAAGGATCAAAGAGGACTCAAGAAGAATTAAAAAAAGAAAAAAAAAAGATGAATGGGATAAAAATGAAAACACAACATCAAATTTTGTGGGACACAGCTAAAAGCAGCACCGAGAGGGAAATTTTTAGCACTAAATGTTTACATTAGGAAAGAGAAAATATCTCACATAAATAATCTAAGCATTTATCTTAAGAACCTAGAGAAAGAGACGCAAAATAAACTCAAGTAGAAGGACGGAAAAAATGAAGAGAACTGATAAAATGGCAAACATACAACCAACAGAGAAACGAAACAAAAAAGTATGTTCTTTGAAAAGATCAATAAAAGGGATATGCCTCGAGAAAGACTGAAAAAAAGGGACGGGCCGAGGCAGTGGGCGGCCGGAAGCGGACTGGCGGCGCTCACCGGCGAGGCCGCGGAGAGCCGAGGGTTCAAGATGGCGGGCGCCGACGGCGGCCCGGGGGTCGGTGAGCTGTGCATACCTGGCTGCCCAGCCACGCCGTGTTCTTGCGGCTCCGAGAGGGACGGAAAAACCAGAGCTCTGCTGGAACTGAGAAGCCGGCTTCATCATTGCCTTGGTCGCCGCCGCTGCCTCCTCCGTTGTTGACGAGAACCCTGGGCTTGGGCCTCGCGGAGAGCTCTTTCTGTGGGACGCAGAAGACAGCTCCTTCTCAGTCCTGCGCCTTCGGGGCCCCAGTGGCGCCAGTGAGAAGCCCCCCCCCTCCCAGAACCAGAGACGGCTTTGCATAAATCCACCCCTGTTTGAAATCTATCAAGCCTTGTTAAGCCTAGCACAACATCATGTAGCACTTACAGGAATAAAAGGACTCATGATATTAGGATTACCTAAAAGATGGGGAAAGAATTCTGAATTTGAAGGTGGAAAATCAGCAGTGAATTGTAGCACGACTTCCGTTGCTGAGAGATTTTTCACCAGTTCAGCCTCTCCGACTCTGAAGCATGCTGCCTCGTACCCGAGAGAGTTGCTGGATCCCCACGTGGTGCCGTTAACGTCAGACAACGTCAAAAGAATTTACCCTTTGCGTGACCCCCGACACCGACTACGGTCACCCAACTTTCAGAAGCAGAAGGGGACAGTCTCATACTCAACAAAGGAAGGGCCTACACCGCATCTCTGGGAGAGACAGCAGTTGCATTTGACTTGGGGCCATTGTCAGCAGCCCGAAGCACATATTTGGGTAAAAAGGCAAAGTAGAAGTAGTGGCTTACTCCCTGTACATCTTATATGAGAATGAGACTTTCCTTACACATGTTAGTCTGTTGCACAGCCTGGGGGTGTGGGTAAGCTATTGGGCCCGTTGCCCATGCATCCTGCTGCTGAAGAGAACTATGGCTACCATGCTTGTGCTGGGCTCTGCTTACCATGTGTCGCCAACATCTTGGTGATTACTACTGCGTCAGGAATGCTTCATCACTGCGTTGTGCTGGAGGGGTAAGAAGAAGATGACCAAACATCAGAAAAGTCCTGGGATTCCAGGGCTGACCTCATTCCGTCACTGTATGTGTTTGAGTGTGTTGAGTTGGAGTTTGCTCTGAAACTGGCATCCGCAGAGGATGAGCCCTTTGGTTCTGACTTTTCTTGTCCAATCAAACTTCACAGAGATCCCAAGTGTCCCTCAAGATACCACTATACTCATGAAGCTGGTGTACATAGTGTTGGGCTACCGTGGATTCATAAACTTCACCAGTTTCTTGGATCAGATGAAGAAGACAGGGACAGTTTACAGGAACTGGCTACAGAACAGAAGTGCTTTGTAGAATACATTCTTTGTAGGAAGCCACTGCCATGCAGTCAGCCAGCTCCTTTTCGAGGATTCTGGATCATCCCTGACATCCTGGGGCCAACAATGATCTGCATCACCAGTACCTATGAATACCTCGTCAGGCCTTTACTAAGCACAGTCCGTCCAGCGTCTCCTCCCTGGCTTTGTACCCGAGAGAATGTTGAAGTAGCAGAGTCTCCCCTCCGTATTCTGGTTGAAACCCGGGATTCCTTTGAAAAGCATATTAGAAGCATTTTGCAACGTAGTGTTGCAAATCCAGCATTTTTTAAATCATCTGAAAAAGATACAGCTCCTCCTCCCAAAGAATGTCTTTAGCTCATCAGCAGAGCCACTCAGGTGTTCAGAGAATACTACATTCTTAAACAGGACCTGGCAAAGGAGGAGATTCACCGGAGGGTCAAATTGTTATGTGACCAAAAAAGAAACAATTAAAAGATCTCAATTATTGTCGAGAGGAGAGGAAAAGTCTACGGGAATTATTTGAGCACTTAGCTGACAAATACGAGGACGCCAAGGAAAAACAAGAAGACATCAGGAACAGGATGAAAAAAGTACTTCACAGTTTTCAGTCTCAGCTCCCAGTTCTCTCTGACGGTGAGAGAGACATGAAGAAAGAATTATAGCTGATACCTGATCAACTTCGACATTTGGGCAATGCCATCAAATGGGTTACTATGAAAAAAGACTATCAACCACAAAAGATGGAAAAGGTACTGAGTCCTCAAAAGCCCACCATTACTCTCAGAGCCTACCAGCGAAAATGCATTCAGTCCATCCTGAAGGAGAAGGGTGAGCACATAAGAGAAATGGTGAAGCAAATTAATGACATCCGAAATTATGTAAACTTCTGAACCACCAAGAACAGACTCACATCTTAGTTAACACACATGAAGGCTTAATCTCACTGTAAAATGAACAAGTAGTACTAATTTATAAAGAGGCAGGTGCCTTGTTAGCACAGTAGGTAGCGCGTCAGTCTCAATTTTTAAATGAGGCATTCTGGATGAACTTTGGTGTGATTGTACATCACTTTTTATACTGTTTTATAATTAAATAAATGCTTGTATTAAAAAAAAAGAGGAAGACATTATTGAACACTAATAACAGGAAGGAAACTGGGTATCACTACAGATTCTGCAGACATCAAAGAAAATAATCAAATCATATGAACATCTATAACTTAGATGAAGTACATGAATTCCTCAAAAAACAGATTATCACAACACACTCAATATAAAATAAATAACTTGAATAGCCCTTCAAGGAAATTGAAGTCACAATTTAAAAACTTTCGAGAAAGAAATTTCCAGATAATTTGACTGGAGGATTCTTTCAAATGTTTAAAGAAGAATTATCACCCATTCTACATAATCTTTTATTTACAGAAAATAAAAGAAGAGAGAACACTTCACACCTCACTTTGTGAGACCAGTATTACCCTGCTACCAAAACTGGATAAAGATGGTACCAAAAAGTACATAGTATAACCGTGGATCAATATCCTTCACAAATGCAAATAAAAAAACCTTTAATATTAGCAAATAGAATACAGGGTTTATTCCAGAGATGCAAGGCTAGTTTGATACTTAAAGTCAATCAATGAAATTCACTGTATTAAAAGGCTGAAGAAAAACCACATAATCATATCAATCAATACAGAAAAATCATTTGACAAAATTCAACAACTATTTATGATAAAACTCAGAAAAAATAAGGGATGCAGGGAACTTCCTCAATTTGATAAAAACGTGCCTATTAAAAAACCAACAGCTAATAAAATACTAACGTTGAAAGACAATGTTTTTCCCTAAAATTGGGAGCAAGGCAAGGGTGTCTGTGTTAACTACTTGTGTTCAATACAGTACCGGAAGCCTTGGGCAGCACAAAAAGGCAAGAGGAAATAAAAGACATACAGGATGAAAAGGAATAAATGAATCTGTCTCTGTTTGCAGCTGACATAATGGTCTAATAACATCCAAAAACAAAACAAAACTGAAGCAATTTCTAGGATAGTAAATGAGCTTAGCAAAGCTGCAAGATATAAGATCAACATATAAAAATCAATGGCATTTCTATATACTAGCTAGAAACACATGGAAAGCAAAATTAAAGTACAATATTATATTTACAACCTCTCTTTCAAAAAAGGAATACCTGTGCATAAATCACCAAAATGTACAAACTATGTATACTAAAAATTTCAAAATATTGATGAAATAAAATTTTTAATAAGCTATATAAATGAAGACACACTCATTGGTTGGAAGATTCATCATGGTAAAATTGTCAAATCTCCCTCAAATGATATATGATTATAATGAAATTTCTAGCAAAATCCTCCAGGATTTTTTGCAGGCAGAGTCAGACTTATTCTAAAATTTATGTAATAAGCAAAGGAACTAAAATAACGGAAACATTTTGAAAAAAGGAAAGAAATGGGAGTAATCACCCTACTCTATTTCAGGACTCATTATGCAGCTATCATAATTTAGACTGTAGTACTGGCAGAGGGGTGGACATGAAGATTAATGGAAGAGAATGGAAAGCCCAGAAATAGCCCCACACCAGTGAGGCCATCTGATTTTTGACACAAGTGCAAAAGTAATTCACTGGAGGAAGGACAGGCTTTTCAACAAATGGTGCTAGAGCAACTGAATATTTATTAAAAAAAAAAAAGAACCTTAATTTAAATTTTGAATTAGTGATCAATGCAAAGAAATAGAGGGAAACAACAGAATGGAAAAAAGCAGAGATCATTTCAAGAAAATTAGAGTTACCAAGGGAACATTTCATGCAGAGATGGGCACAATAAGGGACGGAAACGGTATGGACCTAATAGAAGAAGAAGGTATTAAGAAGAGGTGGCAAGAATACACAGAAGAACTGTACAAAAAAGATCTTCATCACTCAGATAACCAGATCATTCACCTAGAGCCAGACATCCTGGAGTGCAAAGTCAAGTGGGCCTCAGGAAGCATCACTACGAACAAAGCTAGTGGAGGTGATGGAATTCCAGTTGAGCTATTTCAAATCCTAAAAGATGATGCTGTGAAAGTGCTGCGCTCAATATGCCAGCAAATTTGGAAAACTCAGCAGTGGCCACAGGACTGGAAAAAGTCAGTTTTCATTGTCCCAAAGAAAGGCAATGCCAAAGAATGCTCAAACTACTGCACAATTGCACTTATCTCACACACTAGTAAAGTAATGCTCAAAATTCTCCAAGCCAGGCTTCAACAGTACGTGAACTGTGAACTTCCAAATGTTCGAGCTTGATTTAGAAAAGGCAGAGGAACCAGAGATGAAACTGCCAACTTCCACTGGATCATTGAAAAAGCAAGAGCATTCCAGGAAAACATCTACTTCTGCTTTATTGACTACGCCAAAGCCTTTGACTTTGTGGATCACACCAAACTGTGGAAAATCCTTAAAGAGATGGGAATACCAGACCACCTGACCTGCCTCTTGAGAAATCTGTATGCAGGTCAGGAAGCAACAGTTAGAACCGGACATGGAACAACAGACTGGTTCCAAACAGGGAAAGGAGTACGTCAAGGCTGTATGTTGTCACCTTGCTTATTTAACTTCTATGCAGTATACATCATGTGAAATGCTGGGATGGATGAAGCACAAGATGGAATCAAGATTACCGGGAGAAATATCAATAACCTCAGATATGCAGATGACACCACCCTTATGGCAGAAAGCAAAGAACTAAAGAGCCTCTTGATGAAAGTAAAAGAGGATAGTGAAAAAGCTGGCCTAA